TTTGAAATAAAAGCAGTTGTTAGTTTTTTTAAAGAATTTAAATAATTTGACCAATATTTATAGTGAGAAATTGTCAAGATCCGATTCGAAATAGTGTTCATTACAAACACAAAATATTAATAGGAGGACTTCAAGAGTTTCCTAACAAGATCTTTGTCTATCACTTCTTATCTTCACTTTCGTTAAAAATAGAATCAAATAAATTTCGAATCTTTCATTGATTATTATTTTGGACAAAATTTTATTTGAATATTATCACCAGTTTTTCAAAGGGATCATATACAAAATAATTCGAAGAAAAAAATTAGTTTGATTTACGTGGTAGCTGTAGCAGTAATTTGAGGTAATTTAGGTACATCCGACATGCTTGCATTACTTCTGGAATCAGATGAACTTTCATGTTGTGTTGTATTAACTCCTTGTGTTAGAAAAACATTGGTTGCATTATCATGATGAACATCAATTGGACGATCATCATTATCCATTTGAGTTCTATATGAAAACAAAATCAAATAAAATTGACAAATCTAATTTCATTTAATATTACTCATTCAAAGCTAAATCTGTCATATTGGATTTTTTTGTATTCATTCGTATGAATAATACTCGAAGTACTTGTTCTTTTTGTTCCCATGTTAAATCAGCAATATCAACTTCAGGACCAAGATTTGTCCTATTTATTAAAATGTAATGAAAATATGGTTATATTTTTCTTTATTTGATTCTCTATAAAATCATTCATTGTCATAAATGTTTTAGTATGTTACTATTTTTTTTTCAATTTAATGAAAAGTAAATATTTGCAAAAATTTCTTTTTTTTATCTAAGTGATTGTGTACAGTGGCGTTTAACAAGAATCGATTGATGTAAAAGAGTTTTAGTTTAAAGTGAAGCATTTAATAAGAAGAAAAATTATTTTTGATAATAAAAATTCATGTAATGTTTTTTCTCACAATGGAACCGTCTGTATTGTTAATCAAGTTGATCGACCATTTTCGGGTCAAATGAAAGGTCTCACCGCCAAAC